TAGCTATGAGTATACAAGTAATAAAATTAATGTAAATTTGAAAAGTTAGTATTAATATTAATGTCTAATTTCTGATTCATAAAATACTAGTGTTGTAAATATTGTTTTAAACTATTAGATACATACATCGCTAGTTGACCGCAAACGGTCATATCTGTGCGCCTCTGTCTATAATTGTTTAGTAGTGTTTGTGTTTTATATATCACTTATCAGTTTATTCTGGGTAGTCATGTGATTTTAAAATATATTATTATTACTAAACAACGATATTCTGAAAGTAGAGTAATATTATATTTAATTTTTAAAATTACTAGCTCACTCATTTTAATCTAAATTTAATTAGTGAGTACATAAATTGTTTTTTAATAACTTATATAAATTGATTAATAGTTGGCAATAAGTGTTTGCGTTGATGATTAATTTCAAAACATTACATGACACTGTACTAGTACAATTACATTTGAGAATTACTTCGCAAATGGTATACTGTAGTAGTGTAAACAGGATCTTGCAAATATTATGCTGACACTTTGTTAACGCATTTAAGGTATGACTTGTACAAAATTGTGTATAAAAACGACTTGGGGCAAACTATTTAATATTAAATTTTATAAGTTTTAATTCACACTTTAAAGTTAAAATAAAAGCCTATTTATTAAACATCGAGTCTGTTATGACAATAATGTTGGGGTCAGTGTTGGCACCGATTTGCCAGACATACGAGTGGTGTCTCATAGGGCTTATAGTGGCGGCGATCGCGTACTACTACTTGTAAGACATAATATGCATATTATATTAGATTTTTAAAAATATAAATTAATTTAAAACATAATAATTCATGAAATTATTCATTCATCCAATGAGTTCGTGGAGGAATGCCTTCAACTATTGGAGGGGTCGACACATTTGTGGTCCAAACCCCATCCCTATATTCGGAAACCTTTTAAGTTTATCCCTAAATCCTCGATCATTACTGGAGTTGGAGTGGTATAAGAAATACGGCAAAATTTATGGGTAATTATAGTTATTGAACATAAAAGCAAATTTAAAACCTTTTTTATGACACCTTTTTGAGTGTACGTACAGGACATACATATTAGGGAAGCCCAGGCTAACAGTGGCCGTCCCGGAGCTCATCAAACAGATTCTGGTCAAAGATTTTCACACATTTCGTAACCGATCCACGAAAGTGGGCGCCTCCAGTCTGGCGACCATTGATGACCACTGGCGACGAGTCCGGGCTATAGTCAGCCCTACCTTCTCGTCCGGAAAGATGAGGCGAATGTATCCTCTGATCAGCCGGTGCTGCGAAGACTTCCTCAATTTCGTGGATAAGGATGTGTCGAATGGTATGAATGAAGTCGAGTTGAAGCGACTGATGGGCGCCTACACTATGGATTTGATCGCCAGCTGCGCCTTCGCCACGAAAATCAATACATACGCCGACCCTAAC